GGGTTCCTCCCGGACCGGGGCATGAACCCGCGTCCCCTGCATCGGCAGGCGGACTCTCAACCACTCTGCCACCAGGGAAGCCCTCTACTGTAATATTTTTAAAGAAGGCCGCCGAATCGTATAACCCTCAGACCCCACAAAACCTGGATCTGCCCCTGTACCGAGTGAGCCTAAGATCCCCAGCCTGACGATCACAAGGTCACTTACTTGGTGTTTTGGGGCCCATATACTGCCTGCCCCCACAGAAACCTCCTCTGCAGCTCCTAGGAATTCCTACTCACTTCATTGGCAGTTACACTGTTGGGGAAATGAGAGCGGGTCTCCTTTCTCAGGACCTCCATTTGGTCTGAGGCCGTGCAGCATCGTGAGATAGCTGCACTAAGACTGTGACTGTTTTGTCCCCTGAAGTTTCCCTTGTTCCTGGCCCTTAGATTTCTGTTCTGTGTAAACCTCCCCAGAGACGCACCTCCCTCTTAATTTGGTTTTCTTTTGCTTTAGCCACTAAGGCACAATTAGAAAAAGCCACAGCCCAGAGATCCCAGTTTTGATACATACAAGGATGAAAATCTCTGTAGTTAGAGTTCTGCCCCGCTCCCCCCTCAGCATGCTGGTGTGTGACTCCAGCCCATTTTAGGGCTGTGCTGGCACTAGCGATGGATCCACAACTTTGATGAGTGCACAGGCAGCACCAGCCTGACACCTCCTGGCTACATAACTAACTTAAAAAGCCACTTGTGCTGGAAAAGCTCACGGCAGGACCAGTACCCCTACTATTGTTTTCCAGGGCTCTCACTGGGTCATGGCTGTGGCCTGTTCCATCCCCTTATTACTTTCCATTAGTCCTGAGGAAATGGCTTGAAGCCATCAGTTTGGCCCACTTGAGCAGACCATCCCAGTCCCATGAACCTCTCTGATAATGGGTCAGGGAGGAGCTCAAAATTCTGACAGAAGCATCATAATAGGTCTTCTCAAGCTCTGCAAGGCGTCAGTGAATGCAACTCATCACATCTGGTTTCCTTTGGTTTGGGGTGTAGTCGGATCACTCTTCCCAGGGTTTAGCTGATGCTGCCTTGTTTCAAACCTGGTTTTTATCCTGTTTATGAATGAATATCCTAAACTACATTAGTATGCACTGGGAATGAGAATTTGTATGTGACCCTGTGGTACTGCAAGAACTGTTGCCATAGTTTGAGCTCTCTGTTGCTGTTTCTCAGCTAGCTTTATCTTGGAAATGCGGAAGATGATTCTAGCACCCAAATACAGAATATTAGTCTTTCGGTAAATTGCCCTTTTTAGGAGAAGCACGACCATGGCAACCCAGGATTACACAGTGCTCTACAATTTGCAAAGGCCTTTTGAAGACCATTCTCAACAGGCTCCATGAGGTAAGAAGTAGGAATCCAACCTCAGTGAGGATCCTAAGGCTTTGAGGGGTGAAATGATTTGCCCAAAATCACCTGACTCGGAAGTGGCAGAGTCAGGACTGGAACCCTGGCCCAACTCTAAACCATAGGCTCTTTCCATGATATAAAGGGCTAGACTGATGGTAGTTAGTTATTAAAATCAGTAAAAATCTTTTATTGAAGATATGCTACTACTATAGCTGAAATCGTTTCGTTTCCTTGCTAAGTTACCCTCTGCTGTGGTCAGGTATGTCATCTTGCTGTGTTTGCCACCTCCCACAAGTGAAAGGAACGCTTTTCTTTTTAAAGATTCATCAGTCTGAGTTTTCCGGCCCAGGGGAGGCTCTCTTGCCTTCTCCGCATTCAGTAGTCCTGCACAGGAATGGTGATCTTGTGGATAAATTCGTCATACTTCACTTTGCCATTAGGTTCAATATCTGCTTCCCTGAAAAGATCATCCACTGCAATAAATCACATTAATTTTTCAGTTTGGCTTTAGTGTTATGTTATAGGACATCCAGTTGGGGGTTGGGACTCCCTGGAGGTCTTCCCTGAGCGTCTGGTTGACTATTCCCGTAGATGAGGAAATAAACCAGTGGAGGGAACAGGACAACCCACCCCCTACCCCTTGGAGACCATGTATGCAATTTTGAGTTCATCAGGCTTTCTGCAGGGGCCAGGGTAGGGGTGTACTGGTAAGGATTCAGTCACTGAAACCATCTTGTGCTTTTTTTTTTCCCCTTCAGAAAAGGTTTGGCCCCTGTGCCAGTATTTCCAGAAAGCTTTGGCATGAATTTTACCTTCTACAGCCCACCGTCTCAGCTCCCTGCAGAACAGACACCCTCTGCAGCTCCATCCCAGGCCCCCCCAGCCCAGTCTCTGGCCTGCCCCTGACCTGCCAGTCTGCCTTCCAACTTGACCCCACCCCCACCCCAAGGGGGCTCGGTGACAAGTGGTACCTGCCACCATCACCTCTTTTAAAAAGTGTGCGTTTCAGGGGTGGGGTACTGCAACAGAAAATATATTCAACTGTGTCTCAGCTCAAAGCCTACAAAAAACTGCCATTGTTCTCTAATGTTGCTCAAAAAAAGAAAAAACAAAAAGCCCCAACATTTACTGGTTCTGGATCCCTGGGACAAAATACTAGCTTGTCCCAGGAGTTGACAAGAAGAGCCATTTCAGCTTACACTTTTCCACGGTGGCTTCTCAGGACCATCCTCACCCTCTTACAAAACTATCACTGCTCTGTGTTAACTTCCCCGGCCCCAGGCATCCCCAACATAATCCTGGGTAGTTGTTAGAAAATATCCTGTGACTTCCTGCTTAACCATCCTCCTCCAAAAATGTAATTACTGTGCTCTGTGCTTAAGCTGATAGTACTTCTGAGTATTTTCAGAATGTTGAGACTGTAATTTATCTTATTTCATAGAGATGCTTCTACCCATCAACCACTTGGTTAAAACCGTCCCAATGGACAGGTCTAACACCAACCACTGCAGCCTCCAACTGTCCAGAAGAGGGGCAGCTGGAGTCTGATGATGCCTTCTGGGTAGAACGGCGGTTCCCTGTGAACCCACAAAGAACCAGGTCGCAAAGGAGGCCTCCCTCCCAGCCATCTCAGCAGCTCCAAGGATGCTTCTGTAGTAAAACTGAAGCTTTTTCTTTCAGTCAATCACTGAGGGTAAAGGAGTCTTCTAGTATCATCTTTCCTTCTCCCACAGCCAGAGGAGGGGGGCATCAGTCTCTGTCTGGAAGACATTGTCAGTTTCTTTGAAATGTTTCTTTACTGGTTAAACAAATGAGAGAGATGTTTGAGTTTGGGGGCCATGGTATTGCTTTAGACAGAGATCATTAACCGTAAGAATAAGGCCCCTGCTGGCCCTCTGCTAACAAACACTCCACTTGGTGCATAAAAGCCCAAGCAGTGTCCTCAGAGCCGGGGAGGGAAGGAGAGCCCATGTTTCCCTGTTCACATTAAAACAAACATTCCCTGTTCACATTAAAACAGACAATGAAAGACGAGATCGTGATAGCTGCCGGCCTGAAAAAGCGGGGGAAGCTCCATCTGCCTTCTGTAGAGCTATTTTTACATGCTTTGCGCTGTGCCTTTGTGACTGCAGATAAAATCTCAGCAGACTGCTTTATAGAATGTTAGCTCTTGGAGGGACCTGAGGGATTGTCTATGGTAACCTCATTTCCCAACGAGGAAACTGAGGAGGGTGAGAGAGGTTAAGAAACTCACCTGAGGTCCCCCAGAATGAGGGGGAGCCAGGATTCAAGTCTGTTGTGATTTAACCAAAGGCTAAAGGCCCATCACCATTGAAGCCTTTTTCCTCCTGCCTCAATCATAGGCAGTGGCCCAGCAGCCTTACTAGAAATCCCAGCCTCTGGGGTTGGTGGGTGTGGACTCTGGCAGCGACCTGGCATGGCTGCCGTGGCTGGACCGAGGGGCCCACCAGACAGGCTGGGAGAACACCTGCAAAGGGCCCAACATTGGGGTCACCCTTACCATGGACATCAGGCTTTCCTAGAAGACCCAAGCCTCTCATCCTCTCTGAGGTAGGAAGGCAGGGAAGGTAGGAGTCAAAGACCACCACGGACACCCCTTCTGGAAAAGCTCTTAGAGCTGGCTGAGTCGTGGGGAAAGGGAGCAAAGTAACATCTCAATTTAGAAACTTGGCAGCAGTAGCAGCTTCAGAAGACAGCTGTGGTGAGAGGAAAGAGCCTGAGAGGGGCTGGGGGGCGGGGGTCCAAGTGTCTAATAGACCTGCATGTAGCTCCCAGCTCTGTTACTCACAAGCCACTCACTGCACCTGTTTAATCAGTATGAGGGGGACACTGGTGCTCCCAGAGATGTCATAATCACTAAATGAAGGCCCACAGTGAAAGTTTAGAACAGTGGGATGCCCAAGTAGATCATAACTGGGTTTCCCCAAGCCGTCCTTTGCCCTGGCTAATTTCTCCTGCCACCCACAGGGTCCCTAGTTCTTTTCTGGGATCCAATCCAGAGGTCACCAAGCTCAACATCTAGTTACAACCTTCTGGGGCATCCATCAAATGCAGTGCCTACATAACCCAGGTGGCATGGATTGGGCTTTGGTGTCCTTCCCCCAACCCCTTAATCACCTCGTGCTGTTGGGAAAGAGGGACCCAGGCCATTACCTTCTTTATGGGTGAGCTTCTCTCCCAGTTTCATGAGTTTTGACCGCAGTTCAGACGCCATGATGTAGCCTTTCTTCTCCTTGTCTGCCATCAACATGGCCAAAAGAATTTCCTTCTCTGGGTCCTCTTGTTTTATTTGCATGTGCATGATGGTCAGGAAAGTAGAGAAATCCAGCTCTCCATTTCTGTCTAGGAAACCCCCAAACACAGCAGAGTGAGCAGGGAGGAAAAGGCTTCTCTTGAGGAAGGCAGCTGGGTTCCTGCCTTCATGGCCAGCTCAAGGGCCACGTAACTCAGGAAGCACCATGATGGAGGCAGTGGTCATGGGGAAGAGGTTGCAGCCTGTCCTGCTGAGTTCCCACCATGGATATGCCTCCCAACATAATCCTCCCAACCACCCCTTAGTGACTGATTATCATCGCATTTTGCCCACTAAGGAGACAGAAGCTCAGAGCGTAGAGTCACCTCAGAGCAGTGGCAGGACTAGGATGAAGCACTGCCTCCTCTACCCCCTTCTGGATGCTTCTCTCCTGCCCTGAACTGGAGGGGAGTGCACCAACATGTCTATCCCCGCTTTTGGCAGCCACTGTAACACATATACAAAGATGGACAGATGACCCCCACCTGGGGCCTCAAGCCTCCGTCCCACCAGGCTGTTCACCTCACTGCAGCCTCCACCCCACTCCCCCCAGCCCACACCCCTCCTCCAGCCATGCCTGGGGACCTCAGCCCAGGCCCTGGCTGGGCTACAACTGCAGGAAGTCAGAACTGCTCCTGACCACAGCTTCCTGTTTGCAGGAGACAGAAACCAGAGGAAACCACCACCCCCTTGGAGATAGAAGCAGCAGATCTCAGTTGCTAAGCGCCCCATCACTGGGCTTGAGGCCTTCAGAGGCCCCACCCCCAGGCCCAGGCTGGCCTCAGGACAGGCTCCCAGTGCTGCTTCAGGCACCCTCGGATGGGACCTCGGGTTAACGCTAGCAGATGGTGGGGACCCATCTGAGAGATGAAGAAACTGAGGTCCAGATGGGCTCTTGATCAAGTGTTCTTTCCAGGCCACCCTTCTCTTTCCTTCCTGAGTGTCCAGCCACCAATGCAAACAGCCATCCTGGCCTCTGACATCCCTCCCTCTTTTTCTTTAAAAAATAAAAACCCACCACCAGCAACAACAAAAAAACTTGTTTTTGGTTATGAAAAGTCCCGTATGTTTCCACTGTCAAAAACAGAGGAAACAAGGGGAATGAAAATCCCATAATCGCATCACCAGAGAACCATTTGGAGATCAGAATTGAGTTCCGAGCCTGATTCCACCATTGGCGGAAGCACTTGGGGAAGTTACCTAATGGGCTCTGAATCTTGATCCTTGTCTGTAAAACCCGGATTAGGATAGTGCCTCCTTCATTGGGTTGTTGAGCTAAGTACATGACAAATAGTAAAGGGACATCGTTCTATCAAAACAACTTTGGGATCACTTAGCACTGTCTGGGCTGCAGGTGTGTGATAACCTTGTTGGAATGCCTAGATCCCTTGGTCCTCTGGGATGGGGGTGTCACCGGTTGCTGTGAGGATTCAAGGAAGCCCGAGTGATAACACAGCACACCTGGCCAGGTGCCTCCAGAGCACCCAGCCAGTGAGCTCCAGCTGCAACCTACCCCTCAAACTTCTGAGCTGTTTACACCCCGGTCATGTGCACTTGCCTGCCGGGCACTCCCCAGGACCACAGCTGTGGGGCTGAGGGCCCACCCTCAGCCCAGACTCCTCCTTCCCTGGCAACTGACCCGGCCCAGCCAACTCACCTATCCCGTGAGTCTGCAGGTGCCGCTGCACCTCCCCCGGCGTCGGGCTGGCCCCCAGGCACCTCATCACCATCAGGAGGTCAGTGGCTTTCATCTTCCCCCGCTGCTGCTTGTCGTACAGCGAGAAGCATTCCTTGTACTCTGCCAAAGCCCAGAAGGGAGAATCAGGAGCCCTCTTTCCCCCTCCCCCCCGCCTCTCTGTTCTCTCCCCCTCTTTCTGCCCCTCCCCTTTTGCCTGCTCCCCTCTCTTCCCCTCCTAGAGTGGCCAGACAGCAAAGAAAAAGGGCTGCCAGGGTAAACCGAACTTCAGATATTCTTAAAAATGTATTCGGGCTTCCCTGGTGGTGCAGTGGTTGAGAATCTGCCTGCCAATGCAAGGGACACGGGTTCGAGCCCTGGTCTGGGAAGATCCCACATGCCGCGGAGCAACTGGGCCCGTGAGCCACAGCTACTGACCCTGTGCGTCTGGAGCCTGTGAGCCACAACTACTGAGCCTGCGCGTCTGGAGCCTGTGAGCCACAACTACTGTCTGGAGCCTGTGCTCCGCAACAAGAGAGGCCGCGATAGGGAGAGGCCCACGCACCGCGATGAAGAGTGGCCCCCGCTCGCTGCAACTAGAGAAAGCCCTCGCACAGAAACGAAGACCCAACACAGCCAAAAATAAATTAATTAATTAAAAAAAAAAATGTATTCATTGTTTAAGTCGATCCCAAGTTTTGCATGGGATATACTTATAAAGGTATTTGTTGTTTATCTGAAATTTGCATTTAGCTAGGTGTCCTGTTTCATCTGCCAACCCTCTCCCCTCCCTCTCCTGACTTCCCTTCTGCCTCCTCCCTCGCCCTCCCTGCTCCATTCCTCAGTCGGCTAAAACCAGAGGAAAGCTCTCTCTCACCCTCCAGGGCCAGCCCAGGGAGACCAGGAGCTCACAGCAGGGCACCAGACTCCCAGGGGACCTTGGCAAAGATAGCTTATGTGGGAAACAGGGACAATAATGCCTCAGGGCTACTGGTCCTCCTTTGTGGGAAGGCCCAGAAATCCCCTCTGGGCAGGCCTGGCAGAGAGGCTCTCATATGTGATGACAATAATCACAACTGTGGGCACTTCTGAGTCTACTGCTCCAGCCACCGGCCTCCAGGCTGCTGAACTCTCAAGCTGCTCTCTGACAGGCCCTGGCCCCCTTCAAGACTTCAAGAGGCGCTGCCAGGAAGTCATCCCAGGCTCTGCTGAGATCCTGCTTGCTGCTCTCCCCAAACCCTCTCTCCCCTGCTGGGGGCGAGGTAGCCTCCAGATCCACAGCCCCCCAGGCCCAGCAGAACCGACCCCCACCTGCATCTCCCCCGACCCCCAGCTCTGGAGGCACAGTGAGGCCAGCCGTGAGCTTGGGAAGATCAGGGGCCCCTCACAGAGGTTCTGACCACGGGCTGTGGGTAGAGCTCTCATCAGAATTGGTCAAGACTCCCCTCTCGTCCAGTCCCTGGGGCCCACGGGGTAGAGCTCCTGCTTGAGCCCCGCTTGGGAACGTGCAGGGCCCTGCGCTGCCCTCAGCACCCTGCTCTCTCCTGCCTCCCACACCCAGCTGGTTCCTCAGAGGCCTAGACCAGTGGCTCCTGAGCTGATAACAAAAGCAGCAACCGCAGCTCCCGCTACTAGCACTCGCCCCCCAGGCCCTTGTGTAATCCTCACTGTGACCCTGTGGGGGTGGTACCTTCGTTGTTCCCATGGTGCAGATGGGGCGGAAGGCTGGAGCAGCAGAAGACTCGCAGTGGGCAGCCTGCTCTGCCCCGGAGACCGCACTGGATCTCCACTCCCAGGCAGAAGCCACCAGAGGGCAGCAGAGCGGGAGAGACGGCAAAAGGAAGCCCAGGCCTAGGGCCCTTTCATGGTCCCTCCTTAAGGCCTCTCCTGGCAGCGGAGGATTTCAGGGAAGTTGCTAATCAAAGGCAGGCCAGGCAGTGGGGTTTAGAGACAATTAGCTGCTTTTGTGCCTGTGGAGAGGTTGAATGGAAACTTTCCACCCTTTCAGAACTTTCCAGAGCCTGAGCTTCGGAGGGGCAGACCACCAACAGGACCTGGTGGCAGGGGCTGGAGTGGCCCAGGGGAAGCAGGGCCAGAGCCTGGCCTAACCCCACCTTTGGTTCCTGCAAAACCTAATTCCCTCCAAGAAGGCCCAGTGCCAGTGGGGTGGAGGGGGGGAGAGAGAGGGCCACCATCTGTGCAGGGCTTAAACTCAGCTCTCCCCTTCCCCCTCCTGGGGACCGCTCTTGGCCACCCCACCTTGTCTTCCGTCTGGTTTGCCTCTGCACGAGGGGTGGGCCCGCTGCCTTCCTGAGACCTCATCCTATGACAGTTGACCATCTTCCAACAGTGGCCAGGTGGGGACATCACATTCTTGGGGCTTGGAATCCACCAGGCTCTACAGGGGGGAACATTGCCCCCTGCCCCCGTGCCCGTGGTCCCTGATATCAGCAGGGCTAGGGTCAAATGGGGGCCCACCTCCTCAGTTACATAATATGTGTTCTGTCTTCCTACCTTTAGATACCTGGGAGTCTGGCTCTGAACTTGGAGTTCTGCGCTGGAACAACAGGGCTCTTTTCCTTCCACCCCCTGTCCCGCCCCGCCCCCCCC